CCCCCCTCCCCTCGGCATGGCGGCGCACAGCGGCTGTGGGGGTAGTGCTGCGGGTGTGTGGTGGTGTAACTTGCGAGGAGAGCTTTTGCGGCCGGGCGGGGCGCGCGAGAGCGGGGCTTTTGTCTCCGACCTCGGCCCGGGATTGGACTAATGGCAGTCCAAACAAAAGCCAGAGTCGCCAGCAGCAGCAGAGCCGCGGCGGCGGCGCGGGGCGGGGCGGCCAGAATAGATCGGATATACGGATGGGCCCGCGCGGGTGGAGGAGAGAGAGGACGCTGGCCTCGGGGACGATCGCGACCGCGGGCCGGCGCCATGGCCGCGGTCCGTCACTGTTCCGTCTCCTTGCTGAACGACGGCGTCCTGGAGGCGGCGGCGGGCGGCGGGAGCGGCTCGCTCGGGCGCGCGCCGGGGGTGTCCGATAGCGGCCCGCGAATTGAAAAAGTCAGCGGCCCCGGTGGGGCTGGCGCGGCGGGGCTGGCGCGCGGCTCTCAGAGGGGGCGCTGGCCCCTCGGCCCTTTGTACACGTGACGTTGAGCGAGTGGAGAGCGTTCTGCGGGGCTCAGCGGGGGCCGGGCCGGCGGCCGGCCGGGCTGGGGGCTGATGGATCATACGAGGGGCGGCGGGGGGCGGCGGGGGCGGCGGCGGTGGAGGCGGGAGGGAGAGAGAGAGAGAGGACTTTGAGACCGTCGCACCCCATGGAATGCTTGTCATATTCATGTAAAAGCTACCCCGGCTCGGGCCGCTCAGTAGCGCAGTGCGTGTGTGTGCGTGTGATGTGTTGGTGTGTCCGTGTGTGTGTGTGTCTGTGTGTGTATAGTTTACTCTGGGCAGCAACTTTCATCTCGCGGTCCTGGCCCGGCGGGTGCTTGGGGCTGGTGAGTGGGGCTCCCCGCCCCCGTTGTCGTCATGGTCGAGTCTTTTATCCCGAGATAGCCCCGCCGCGGGACGCGCGACGCACGACGGGGTTACGGCCCACTCCCACCAGCGGCGCGGGAGATGTCGCGGGCCGCGGGGGGTTTTGTGCTCGGGTTGAGCGGAGTACTGCAGTTTGCGATGCCGCTTGAGTGAAATCTGTGGGAGCGGAAAAAAAGAAGACCGTGGAACAACAGACCGTCATCATTTTGGTTCGCCCTCAGCATGGTGTCTGAAATCGTTGAATTATCCTATCCTTTACCTATTTTGGTTGGTAAAAAGACAAAATAGCTATATTCACCAAAAATAATCAGCCGTTTCTTGCCATTCTCTTTGCCGACAGGTCGCGGAGGACGGGACGGACTGCCGCGTGGGAGGAGTTTTTGTAGCGCTGAGGGGGGTCCCCGCCGGCGTCCCGGACAGCGACGTCTCCGCGGCCCTCAGCCAGCTGGGCGTTGTCGTTGGTATGAAGAAGAAAGAGGAGTCCAAATTTAATTTGTTG